TTGCACAGTAGGTATTACATAGTATTGCAAAGTCTGATGGCAGCAGGGATGAACGACCTGCAGTGATGCTCCTTTTTAATCACGGTGTGTATAAGTCTGTTACTAAAGGAGCTGCTCAGCTCCTCTACAGTCTGGTGCAGAGTGTGAACCATATCCATGATGGATGTGAGTTCGACCTCTTCCTCTGCTGAGTCCAGAGAGCAGCCCAGAGTAGAGGAGAGCTGAGGCTACCATAGAATCATAGGAAGTCTTAAGCAAGGGGCCTGCTCACTCCAAAGGACATCAGCCTCCTCAGGAGGTGGAGGCGGCTCTGGCCCTTCTTGTACAGTGCGTCGGTGTTATGAGTCCAGTCCAGTTTATTTTTTAGGGGGGAAAAAAACAGACATTTCAATCTCTCCACAGTTTCTATGTCCTTCCGCTGGATGTTCATGGGGGAGTGACATTGGGCCAAAACTATTTCTTCACGCTATTTTAACTTTCTGAGGTGTACGTTTGTATTAAATTTAATATTGTTGCTTTTCTACAAAAATCTAAATAAAATACGGCATGTTTAGTGAGGCTACAACCTATGCTGACTCTGCATGGGAGTTCTGATTAAATATTTTTCTTTTGCTGCGTTGAGTAAAATAATAAAGCTACATGAATCTTTGTTTATTCACAACTTAAGCTTAAAAAGATAAAAACCAAGAGGCTTTAAGTCTTATTTATAAACAGAGACATATTCAAATCAAAATATAGGATATGAAATACCCTCCCTTTGGCTGGAGAAATTGAGGATGATTAGGATTAAAGAATCAAGAATAATAAGTACAGTATCTATACTATATTAGACAGACTGGAAGTTGGATTTTATTTGATTTATTTATAGATGTGGGTAAATTTTTTAGCTTGAACTTAAACAGCATCAAGTTATCAACCTCAAAATTTGAAAGGTGAACCAAAGAGAGTAACTTTTTAAGACTTTAATTTCAATGGGCTGTTTACAAAGTTAAAATGGTCTCAATAACATTAGAAATATAAAAAGCAATTTTTTTTTTTACAATGTTCTGTAACCTGGAGCTAATTAAATAGTAAACAAACTTTTTCCTCATTTGTTCCCAAAATCAATATATAAAAAAAAAACCTTAAGGCCATAAAAAAATCCAATATTTTTATTTGATATCAAACAGACGTATGTTTTTATACCTTCTCAACACTCAATATGCAATGGTTTAAAGAGGTAAAAACTACCCAGTGTTTTGTAAAAAGGAGATCTTTACATCACTATAGTTCTGAAACATAGAAAGGTCTCCCAGTCCTGCCCAATCATAAGAAAGATCAGGTGAAATACACTAATAGGTTTGGAGGGTTTCATTATTTGAATGTTCTTTGTCCAAAATAGCTTTTTCCTAATATTTTAAATGAGAATTTCCTTGGTTAAGGATAGCCTTTTGAAGACATTTAGCTGAATATAATGAATGGCTGTGATGTTCATTAAGCTTTCTGGCTCTATTCCAAAAAAGTAAAAAATCAATCCACTGGACTTTGTTTTCCAAGTTTGAAGATGTTTCGCTTCCCATCCAGGAAGCTTTTTAAATTCAAAATGTCTGGATTAGCGTTGGGTTCCAGGCTTTATAGAGTGGAACAACAAAGCCTTGTTATGGCTTAGAAAACAAGCAAATTGAACTGAAAGAACAGGTCCGCCCCTTATAATGGGGAGTCGTTGGGTTCTTTATTAACCTGCAATACCTGATACTTATGGAGGATAAAAAGTGCCAAAATTAAATAAATAAATAAATACAACATTAAATAAATAATTAAATATGTCAATAATTAATTAAATACGGAATTAAATAAATAAATGTGTCATTCATTATTTAAAACCACGTCACTAATATAAAGTGCCACAATTAAATAAATAAATACAGCGATAAACAATTAATTAAATGTGTAATTCATTAAATAAATAAGGAATTAAATATATAAATGTGTCATTAATTTAATAAAATACGTCTTAATTTTATTTAAAAATATATATATAATTATTTCAGTGTGCATTTAATTATTTCAAGGTCCTGTGTCGCAGTGCATCGAAACTATAATCTGTCAAACTCACCCATCAAAGTTAGGGGGCGGGTTTAACGCGAATCAAGTCTCTGTAATTGATTTGCTTCGCCTTAATGTGAGGGGTGACCAATCAGGTGTTAGATAACCGCCCCCTAACTTTGATGTAGTTGTAGTTGGACAGCTTTCTGGCTCTTTTTACTGTGAATCTCAAAGGACAGGTAAAATAAAATGTTTTTACCGAATGTTCCTTTCCAGGAACAATTGAATTGCTTTTGAATTGGAAAAGTTTTTTTTTTTCCTGAATGTCAACCACCTGTGCTGGCATACAATATAACACCAATCTTAAAGTACACTATAATTAAATGTTTAGTCGACTTTAGGTGAGAGAAAAATGTTAGGATGGTTTTTAGAACTGAAATTATATTTTATTCCGTTAAGTGTGGATTTATTTTCACCTTTACAAAGTCCCTGACAGTCTCACCTGACAAAAACATGTTCGGGTTTTGATCCTTAGAATTTCCTGATTTATTTTCTTTTTTCATTCTTTTTTTAAACAGGACTTTTTTTGACCTCTTAATCTGACCTCTTAATCAGTTTACCTCTAACATAGAGCCTAAAGGCTCTATGTTAGAGGTAAACTGAACCTGAGATTCTCTTTCAAGTTGATAATTATCCCCACGATGAGTCTTAAACTCATATAAATACAGTGATTCCAGAAATTTTTTTTTCATTTTTTTCTTTATTTTCTTTATAAACTTGTAAGAAATAATCAACTCCATTCCAAAGCTCATTTCACAGCATGCTAAATATGGTGAACAAAAAGGAACTAATTAAACATTACATCAACATTTGCCCTAAGTTTTAATTAATTGGTTTTATAACACAGAAGCAGAAAGAGTTTTAAGGCATGCTATGAATATTCCATTGTATCCAACCTATTACCAGCTACTGTATGTTGTTTAAATTGTTAAAAGAGCAAAATTGAAAACATTTTCTTGACAAATAACACTACTTATTTGCCCTGAGCAAGATTGAGAAATTGCTTATATGAACTCAATATAATCTGGTCAGACATTACAGATCAGGTTCCATTAACTGTCACACTGTTCACCTTTTAAGATTAGCAACCAGTTTCAGTGTAAAGTGAAGCGAAATCAAAAGAGACACAAAGGCTTTTTCAGTCACATCATACTGGCACAGGCATTGTTTAGTTACATTCCTTTAATATCATGTAAAAACTTTTCTATTTATAAAAAAATCTATTCATTTCGTTGTTTTTTTTTCTTTGCAGCACCATTACCAATGTATTTTCCTATAGTTTACACTGACAGGCAACAAGAAATACATATATTATGAAATGTATTTTAAACTAAGGCTCTCTAAATTCACTGATTTCATTATCTTTAGAAAACTGATGACATAAAAGTATTAGATTATCAGAACGATGGGGCGTGCTTTGGTGGTGCAGTGGCACACGACCCATATACGTATACGGAGGCCTTAGTCCTCGATGTGGGCGAGCCGTATAAAGGCAACATGTATAAAGAGTTTAAATCTGCAAAAAAGGGGAATAATTATAGAACCAGAGCAGTTTGTGACCTTAGGTGGATTAATGCTGTCATTAATCATTTGCATTTTAGCAGCCAGTAATTGAATAAACATTTTCGCCGGGTTGTCAGTTGAGCCACAGCATGGGGTAAGGTATAGTCTTTTGCGCTTTCAGGCTCCTAAATGTTGAAACAAACTAGGCAAACATGACTTCATTTAGCTTATAAAACAGTACTCACATCACTCTTTTTTATCCTCTTATTAATCATTGACATAAAACTAAGATAAACTATTGATCTTTAATTTTGTCTTTAACAAAAACTGGCTGTGGTATAAAGTGTTTCTACAATAGAAAGAAAGATTTGGGAGTGGTGGCCTAAAGGTTAGGGCATTGCGTTTGGGTCCCAGAGGTTCTGATCTCAGGATCCACTCCCACGGACTGCCACTCAGGGTCCCTGAGCAAGGCCATTAACCCCACACTGCTCCCCAGACGCCACAAAATTGCAGCCCACTGCTCCCCAAGGGGTTACATGCAAAAAGTTAATTTCATTGCTTTGTACTTGTGACCGTGTAATGACTATAAAGTTTAATACTTTATTCTTCTTCTAATTATTATAATAATTAAGTATCCCTTTAAAGGACCAGGTGGCGGTTCTTCTTTTTCTGCATGTAGGACTATAGAAGGATAACAGGCCATGATTTTCTGGGTCATAATTAGTCTGTTTTGTTTTTTAACAGAAATAGTTTTTCCGTAAATGTAAATAAATGCTTTCTAAATTTAAAAAGGTTCATGATAGACCTTTCTGTGTTTCATCAGAGACATTTGGTAGCAGTAGACAAGTAAAAGGCCTTGTATATAGGCAGTGCACCTGCTAAAACTGAACCTTTTCCAACATGATTGGTGCTCCAGACTGTCGGGGTGTTTAACATTCAGTCTGCAGACACACTCAAAAACTTCCTCTTAGTGCCCTTTTTTTCTACATCCTTTATCTACAGCTTCTTTTAATAATGCTTGGGATGTTTATTTGACTTTGTCTGTGACTGATCCCTTGAGTGATGCCATTTGAAATTTATTAAACCTAATTGGCTATTTATGATTTGGTGCTGAAGGTCTCATTTACTTTGACTTTAAGCTGCTATTCATCTTATTCTAAAAGCCTTAAGGCAATTTTTCACTAAACGTAGATGACAATGATACATGGGACTCTAAGTAAGACAGGAAGGCAGTGAATGATGAGCTTTATACAAAAGGCCAGCATATAAAATATGTTTTCAGTTGTTTTCACTCAGATTAAACATAAAAGAACAGAAAAAAAAACACATTAACCCCCACACCAAAGACCAGTTCAACTGCTGTTTGAAAAGATGACTGATCCCAAACACAAGAAACATGTTTTTCTCTTTGCTAAAAAAAAAAAAAAAAAGAAGAATGAAACTTCTAATCTCAAAATAAGTCTAGTGTTTCAAACAAAACATTAGAACTGATTGGTGGATGAATTTCACCGTCTAACATCACTCTGCTTGCTCTGGCTCGGCGTCCATGCATGTCTCCCAAGGATTTCTTGGCATCTGAGGCATAGAGAGGATGAGGAGTGCAATGCCAGTGAGAAAGAGGAGGACAAAGCCGGAGCAGGCACAAGCGAAGGACCAGGCGTAGTAGTACTCAATCCAGATAGTGTCCTCGCTCTCAATCATGCGTTTCACTGACTGACGCATCACCTCCAGTGAGATGAAGGCACAAATACCTGAAAAAGGAGGCTTTATGTGAACAACATATTTGCTTTTGTTCTGTTATTTGTTGTTTATCATTCAGACTGGTGTACTGAAGGGAAACTGAAGATTAGTCTATAAACTGAACCCACCTGCAAATGCGAAGAACATTCCTGCAGGTTTGAGAAGGTAGTCTCTTCCCTTGCCTGTCCCAGTGCAGGATCCCAGCAAACACAGAGATCCGAGGATCATGAAAGCCAGACTGAAAATGGAGATGGCTGCAGCAGAAATGTTGTACTCTGGAAAAGGGAGTACAAAAAGTGTCAAAAACAAAAATACAGTCAAGAAATAAATGCAAATCTTGTTTTCTTCTAGATTTTCTGAAGAAAAAAATAAAAAAGAAGTAAAGAAGGTGGTTTAATAAGTTTCATCACTTTACCTTTAAGGACTTTTTGAGGCTCGTAAAAAAAAGAAGCATCAAAACCTTTTTCTTTTTATTCATCTGCATGGCCTAACCATTACCAGCATGTACCTAACCCTGACTTTAACCTAAACTTAACTCACACCGTAGTCCTTAACCCGCAGCCCAACAATAGAACTCCTCCTCATTGGGAGCAATCATTGGTTCCTACAAGCACCCATAAGGTCCCACAATTCTGGGAAGTTGATCCCACAGGGTAATAAATACACGGCCAGGAGAGACAACCAGCCACAAACACTCATACCTACAGTAAGGGCAAGTTTTTAAAAATCAATCCAAAAATCATGCTTTTGGATTGTGGAAGGAATTCAGAGTATCCAGAGAAAACCCACCCATCCAGAGGGAGAACGTATATTTTATGGTTATTAAAAAGTATAAGCCTTATTTTAATTCAGTTTATTTTTATAGCACCATTTCACAACAAATTCCATGCAGGACTTTACAAAACCCTGCGATGGACTGGCGACCTGTCCAGGGTTAACCTGCATTGAGGGACTTTACAAAACCAATTCAATCAAATCATACAGAGACACATTTTCTATTTAAGGAAACCCAGCAGACGACATTGACTCACTGATTTTGCAGGATTCACTCATATTGCACCAGAGAACCATCGCTTGCCTTCTGTCATTCACTTTCTAACAATCCCCCTTACTGACCAAGCATGTTATTGTTTTTTCTGTTACTTAAGTAGTTATTAAAGCTAAACTATTTTAAAACAACTGCCCTCTCTAATAAAAAAAAATAATAATAAAAAAATGCACATGCACAACCCTGTATCTGCTCCCGAGAGGGAACGCCTATTAAACATGTGCAACATGCCCGAGCCCGTTTCTGGTTGTGCACGCTCTGTTTAAATGTTGCTGTTTGCATCACTCATACAGGCTTACTTTCCAAAAGAAGATTTTCAATTTTTCCACTATGTCAGACTCACCACCAGTAAGTGAAATGGGGACGAACATGTAGGACAGCCTTAGGTAAACATATCACCAGAATGATTGACTATTAGGAGGACCACTTATTTTGATGATCCACCCGGAAAATGAACATCCTCCACTATACCTTTAATTTATCATAATTGTATGAGGAAATGCATCCTGCTACTGTCTGTTTTTAATCTTTGTCTGTTTGAGCACCCGCCCCTAAAAATGTCGATGTAGGCACCTGCATAGAAGAAAAAATTACAAACACCGAGAGATTATCATTTCTGACATTTAGATATTTTCTCAACATGCTAATTATAACTTTTTTCATAATTTTCTTCAGTACTTATCAGTAGCATCTTAAAGCTAAACCTAATGCAACACTTCAGCTCTGCTTTTCATGACTAAATATCAGTACAGTCCTGAGATGGATGGAAGGTCAGTCCTGATGATCCTCTAATTATTTGCACCTGTCCTGTTTATGGATCAACCAAGCTACAAAGAGACTGACGTTTACACAACAGGCTGGTTAATGGCAGTGAAGAAGATGACCAGCAGCCCCAGTACCAGGTTGTATTCCTTTAGTCACTACAGTCAGTAGTAGGGGTGAGTGTTAGCATGTGTCACGATACTTGGATCATGATATATTATTACGATATTGCAATATCACTATATATTGTGTTATTTTTCCTAGTTTAAAAATTTAATGTAATCATAAAAAAGCAGGTTCTGTATATGTTCATCAGGAAATGTTGATCTTTTATTTATTTTGGTATCAATGTTTTATCTGGTTTGAGTCAGTCCATGTCTTCCACTGTGACTGCCTCAACTACAGGAATAGTGATTCCAAAAAAGTAAAAAAAAAGCAATTCACTGGACTTTGTTTCCACGTTTCGCTTCCCCTCCAGGAAGCTTTTTCAATTCAACATTAAGAATCTTCTCCAGCATACACAAATGGTGCAGCTGAAAGGCTATTTGCCAGAGTGGTGATGTTGAGGTAGCACATTTTCCCTCATTGTTTTAGGTAAAAAATGTTTTGTTTTTTTAATCGATATTAGGAAATGAAAGATCAATATTATATCGGGCAGCCAAAAATCTCGTTATATCACCAAATCGATTTTTTCCCACACCCCTGGTCAGTCAGTATTCCTTAATGTTTTTAACTTCTGCTGAACATTCTCAGTGAATATGGTCCACGGTAGACATGGTGTAGTTGAGGATGTTGAGCGAAGGCAGCTTTCTTCACATCATTGAGAAGATGAAGCTGGTTCTGGTTTTAAATGCACCAGTGACCCAGCATGTTCACTCTTTGTACTGATGCAGAATCATCTGGTCCTGGATCAGATCAACGACAGGGAGGTGCTGGTGCTGATAGTTCTTGTGCAACAGAAGATATCCTCAGTAAGGATGCTGGTGGTTCACAGACAGGGGATTCGGCTTCACTAGTCGCAGCAGATTGTGTCGTTCAGTTAGTCAGCACATTACCGCCTGGAATTACCAAAAAATGCTTTTCTGGCAACTCTTTCAACACCTGCTGATTGATTTTCTTTCTGTGGGCTTTGTTGACAATGAACCAAGAACTCATAGACTTTTACGTACCCCCAAATACCAATAATATGGATTTTTTCAAATGTCCAATATGAATATGCTTTAGTTTAATGCTTGTAGATTGCCTGCGTGTGATAGGAGCAGCAGCTGCTTTGTGTTTTGCTGTGGTGGTTATGATCTGAAGCTTTTGATCTGCCGCCTGCTTGCCTGGAAACCAGGCCGTTGGGGTGGCCCTCCTTTGGGGGGGCGAGAGCCTTCATCTTCTGCTGGCAGGGGAGGATGGGCCACAACCTAGGCACTCTGGGCTTTGAAGTGTTGCATGCAGAGCTAAGGCATGCACCTGCCATAAATTCCAGAAATGATTCTAAATTATTTTTGTATCCTGTGAAGGCTATAGTTGTAAAAATAGTTTTTCCATGTGTGCCAACGGTTTCTAATCTTGGAAGCACTTAAACGTGTGACTCTTACAAAGTGGCTTACATCAATAGGAGTTTAAAATGACTCCTTTTCTAAAGTCCTGAATCTGCAGGCTCTGCTTCAGTCTGAATTCCGAAAAAAAAAAAAAAAAAACTCTTATCAGGAGTTTGATTTGATTTTTTAAGTTGTTACTAACTGTAGGTGTGCAATGGAGAAAATAAACATTCACCTAACAAATAAGGACAGTAAAAAGGTTTTATGTTTTCATATCTTAAAGGCTGCTGATTTAATTCGCTATACCTTTTCCAATCCCCATCCCCTCCTTATAGGTTTCTCAGCATCAAATTATATCAAACACATATCAATGCATCACCCAAAATAATACTAAATAGCACTCATAGAAAAGGAAGAACACATTCTCTTAAAAACATCCTTTGTTTTGCTGTCGGGTGTGAGTTTGTGTTGGTCTGCTTGACGCACTAACCTCTTGCCATTTTATAAGCAACAAAATATGTTTGGTATCTGTGTGTGGACCTATTTAGTTTTCATGCTTGCATTTGTTTTCCCCTTCAGGCCACTGCAAATGTCAGAAGGATAACTTACTTCCTGTATGTGTATCCTAATGCATGTTGTATACACAAGGTATCAAAAGGGAAAAACATAGGTTTTAAATTCTTCCCAATTTGGGCAACATTTCCAACAGCATTCCAGATGAATGCATCTGAATGAACAACTTTCAGATGTATTAGATGATGAAATAACTTATTTTTTTTTAAAATGATTCAAAGACCCTATTCTTACATTTATAATATCAAGCCGAACAACATTTACTGTGCAATTGAAACATTTAAAACTAAATGTAAAATCCGGACAGTAATAGACTAAATTCATTATTACTGTACCTATTTATCCTTGTTCAACTTTCACACATTTAGTAACGTCACAACCACAAACTTTAATGTATTTTTTAATGTGACAGATTGATAACAGTAGTACATTATCATGAGGTGGAAGGAAAAGTTTACCTCGTTTTTACATTTTCTGTATTGTCTGTATGCAAATTTGTCTCTGAAACTCTGATAACCCTAACAAACATCAAGCCCATCCAAATGCAATTAAAAGCCAGCTAATATGTAACAAATAATTAAGAAAAAGACTTGATCATGTCCTGAGACTTTTAAAGTATCTTCAGATACTTTAAAAAGCAACATCCCAAGCTTTGTCATCTAGTACAGCTCAGTTCAGCATGTAGAAATGGAAAGAGTATGACACAATGGAAAGAGTATGGTACTAAAACATGGCTGTCAACCTGAAGTAACAAGCCATGCAAGAGAGTCATGAATCAGAACAGTTTACAAGTTAAATTGTTGAGGAATATGTTCAGACACACAGTTCATGTGGGGGAATCCCTCAACAGGACAACAGTTTGATTTTGCACACTTCAAATATGCCCTCATCACTACAAAAAAGCCACTAGAGGTCCTGTCTGCAAGCTCGAAGCAATAAGGAGACAGAAAAGCTGTGTAAAAAGGTTCCAAGTTTGATAAAACCCAAATAAAACTTTTATTTTTTTTGTCCAATTTGCAAATAACTATAGACTAGCTGTTATGGGAAACAAACAAAGCAAATTACTGTGAACACACTTTTCCCATAGTGACGCAAGTTGGCAGGTAATGGATCATTCTCTTTTACAGCGACAAGGAAGGAGAGAAGACAAATGGAGCTAAACGCATGGTAGTTCTGAGAGAAAACCTGTTAGGCTGCAAAAGACTTAAGACTTAAATAAAAATTCATCGGGTTGTAGGACCGTAAACATACACCCTGAGCTGTTCCCATTTTATTATATTATTTTGCAAATATTTGGCAAAGATGTCCTTCTTCTGTTGTGCAAAGCTAGTAGACACTTACCACACAAGACTTGCTTGCTAGG